TGTTAAGACGACAACCGTTTCTGATGGGACTTTAAGTCGGCGCTACACGCGAATTCTTTATGGATTTTCTGAGAAATATAAACCGCTTAAGCTCCAGCAATTCGTACTTTGAATGTTGTAACTCTCATTTGTCGTCCCAAATGTCATGTCTCTTAATGTCTTGTCGTCTTATTTACCTAGAACCACTCAGTATAAATAATTTTGTAATAACAAACAAAACAGAAAGGACCAAGTTAACATCCTCCCCCCTAAACACGTTTAGGGTGGAGGATGTTAACTTGGTTCTAAGTTGGGAATTTTCAGCCAATCAGAATCGAGCATTTTACATATAGCGCTTAGCAAATTTAATTTAATTTAAGCGCTGGGGCGGAGGATCTTAATTTTTTCAGGGGGAGGGGGGGGGGGAGGATGTTAACTTGATCCAACAGAAATTTGAAAAATTAGAAACACTGGTTAATCGATGAATTTAACGATATGCAAATTGAATCGCAGTTTTTTTACTGACAAGAATCTTTTCTGTAGAAACTTAAAACAGGAAAGACCCAACACCCATAACAACTCATAATTGTATACAAAACAAATTTTTAATTTAGGAATTAGGAGTCGATATGTTTAGGAGAAAAAAAAGACCAAGTTAACATCCTCCAAGTTCAAACTTAATGTGGAAACGGCGCAATAAACTTCAATTAGACCAGCTCAAGCGACGGTCACAGTCTTCCGTGCCTGGATGGGGGATGAATTGGATCTGCTCACAATTTATTTGCTCACTTAAGGCCAATTTCTCAGTTTGAATTTCAAAAACACGGCTTGGCTTGGTCCTGCTTGGTACAATACATCGTAAACGGCCTGCTTATATCTCAACATTTACACAACTGCTATTTGCAATTTAGACCATAGAAGTGTTCGGTCATTTTTGGTAATTTTACCGCCGCGTTCTCTACTCTTCAATATTTGATTTGTTTACTTTTTGCTACCTACTTTTGTTGAGCCGGTATAATTTGTCATCTTATATCTTCAAGTCAACGACAGCGTTAATAACATATTATACCCGTATTTTTCGATTCTGTTTAATTTTCTCATTTTTGTCAATATCTTTTGCCATCCCCCAGTCACTAAGCACGCCATTTCATTTTAAATTTCCGCAATATGCTCAAAAAAGTGACTCATGCTCATGTGACGAGATACTAAATGTAATTCATTCCATACCGCAAAGCAAATGCGACCATAAAATGAGTAATTTGGCTGAGGCAAAAGGCAACTTATTTTTTCTTTGTTTACTTATTTTCATTCTCTTTACCTTATTTTTTACCAGCTTAGGAACCGATTTACTTTGTACACTGAAATATTAACCACCACAAGATTGAAGGCTATTTTTTATTTAATTCCTATAAAAGGGACGATTTTTCTAAGATTCGTTATGAGCATAACTCAATTTAGTTGTAATTCTATAAGACTGAGAGCTCGCTGATGTGTTGGTTGAGAATTGAGTATTTCTGGTTACAAGTGTATTGCCAACGTCGTTTTTTTCCTCTTAAATATCTGTTATATTCAAGTTGCTGTTTTCGCGGTGCGAGTCATTTTTCCATTTTTTCTGTCTTTTATTATAGCTAGCCTTATTTTCCTTTTCCAGATTTTAATTTGGTAGTACAGTTCCAAGTCGGTATCTTTCTTCCTTCGCTCGGATTACTCATCTTGCAAAACAGTTCGGTTTTTATTGCTCAAATCCTCTTTTTTAAAAAATATATATATAATAGTAACTTCATTTTCAGCTGATAGACTTCATCGTCGCCGCCGTCCTTTATTTCACTTTTCACTGGGGAGTATACTCACGCATAATTCTTCATTTCTGCCTTGGTGTAGAAGAAAGAGCCTGGATTTTTAATTCCCTCTTTTCGAGGCAAGTTTCTCTGATTCATCGCCATCTTTTATTTCACTTTTCGCTTGTTGTTTTTTTTTTTACCGTTATGCCTTTTTCGCTGATAGTTATCCCAGTTTTGCGTAAAGCAGCTTTGATTAACTCACTTTCCTAAATTATTGAGCACCAAAAGTATTTGAAAAAAAAATACTAAACTGTTAATCGATCGCTGTTTTTTCAGCAAAAAACGCTTTATTTATCAAAACTGCGATCTTAGACAATTCTCATAGCGTGATACTGATCCCATAAATTATACGATAATGCTATAAAATTTTCAAAAGTTATCTCAAATTTGCGAGAAAAAGTTGTCAAAAGTTTCACTCTTCTGAAAGATAGTTTCAAAATTTGTCAAAATGTTGGCAAATCTTCATCAAAGATTGGCGGAGATTGCAGCCCATCAGCAAAGTCTTCAGAGCGAAATCGGAACCCATCATCACGTGATCAATCCCCCACCTTCACGTCCCCATCCCCACCATCGCCATCATCAACAACAACAATCACATCATCATCACCATCATCAACAACAACAACATCAAGAGCATCGTCATCATCATCA